TTTCTGCACATGGTGTCAATACCACGTCCAAGGCCTCAGTAAGGTGTTTGAAAATGCTTGTCCAGTATCCTTGTAGGCGAGGACAAGACCAAAACATATGAGTCATGTTTGCTGGTGACATGTGGCATCTGTTACAGGTGTCCGTAACATTTGGGTATATTTTGGAGAGTTTAGAGTTGGTGTAATAGATACGGTGGACAACCTTTAGTTGTATAAGATTAAGCATGGCACAGGACGTACTATTGTTCACTCTCGCTAATGTGCCATCCCGGACCTCATCATCTATAGCTTGGACTAGTTCCTCTTCCCAATCTTGATTTTACCAAGCGATGTTTCTGTGAGACGGGAGACGGAATTGTAAATTCTTGAAATCAAACCTTTTTCGATTGTTAGAGTGTCCAGAATTGAGTCAATTATTGAATCCGGAGGGATATTGGGGAAGGAAGGGTTGTTTAGTTCAACCCAGTTTCGGACCTGGAAGTAGCGAAATAGATGAGTGCCTGGAAGGCAACATTTGTCATAGAGTTGGCTAAAGCTACCGAAAACATTGTTAATGTAAAGGTCCCTTACTCTGATAAGACCTAATCTCTGCCACATAGAGAAGGCCCCATCAGTGTGAGAGGGGAGAAAGAGATGGTTGTTGCGAATGGGACTATGTATAGAGGATCCACAGAGTCCATGAGCCTTTCTGAATTGGGACCAAATTCTTAGGGTGGAAACAACAATCGGGTTATTCGAATATTGAGTTGGCCGGCTGGGTAATGTAGATGTAAGCAAAGCCAAGAGTGAGGTATTAGGACAGGATTTGGCTTCAAGCTCACACCAACTCAATGTTGGTTCCTTAGTCCATCGAATTACTTTGTGGATATTGGCTGCCCAATAGTAGTGTCTTATATTTGGAAGCGCTAATCCTCCTGTAGATCTATGCCTTTGTAAAAGCTCTTTCCTAATTCTAGGAGTCTTCCCTTGCCATAAAAAAGAGGAGATTAGTGTGTCTATTTTACGAAAAAGTGATTTTGGTAGGAAGACTGGCAGACATTGAAAGAGGTACAGGAAGCGAGGGAGAGCGTTCATTTTGATACAGTTTACCCTCCCAGCGATAGTTAAATGTAAATTATTCCACCTTTCCAAATCATATTTGAGTTTGTCAATTAGTGGTGGGACGTTATCTTTGTAAAGGTCTGAGAGTTTTCCACTTATATTCACGCCTAAATACTTAAAGTTACTCCTAGACATCTTGAAGGTGATGAGTCTATCGGGGATCTGAAGGGCCAGGTCATTTACGGGGAAACACTCACTCTTGGAAAAGTTTCACTCTTGGAAAAGTTACCATTACTTCTCTTCTTACTTCTATAAGAATAAAACACAGTGGACGGAGATCTCTTTGTCTCCCCCTCTTCTCCCCGCTGCAGCTGATCTCAGAGCACGCTCCCCTCTCCTGCAGGGGGGGTGGTCAGCTGCAGCTCACAGAATCAGCCCCCTGCAAAAACAGCGCTGGAAAGAGCAAATAGAGCGAAATGAGGCATGGCTAAAATGCAGGATCTTTTTGGTATTTTGAAAAAAAAACTATATTTATATACTTTATATAGGTATGGCCCTACAATATATTGTTCAAATATAGCATGATAGGTGTCCTTTAAAGTGGACCTATCATGCTATATTTGAAAAATATATTGTAGGGCCATACCTATATAAAACATGTCTGTGAAGTTTTTTTTTTCAAAATACCAAACAGATCACCCATTGTAGCCATGCCTCATACTGTTCAAACCCCTCTTTTGCAGCCCTGTTAGAGAAACGCGGATCTTGGGTCCTTAGCTTGAAAAAAAGAAAGAAGAGGAGGTGGAGCTAATGCCTGATCAGAATTATACCGGAGATAAAGTTAAATTAGGTTGTGATAAAACACCATCCTGTTTAAACAACGTCAAGGATTATTTCTGAAACAGTATGGAGCTCAAATGCTTTTTCTCTTGCGGGTTTATCACAAGGTGAGTTCCTTTTTTATTTCCTGCTTTTTAAACACATGTGCTCTCCAGTACAGGTTAGCTCTGAGTGTTAGCGAGGCTTGCTAATGTAAACAAAAACGAGATTACGTCCAAAACACATCAGGCATTGTTTCTGATAGCAACTTTCTGTGGGTCCGCTGACATCACAGCGGATAGACATCTGTATCCGCTCGTTGTACACCCATTTTTAAAAGATTTGGGTACGGAGGAAAAGAGAGAGGGTTTTATTTTCTGATGCTGCGTGAGTTCCCAGAGGCACCGGGGACACATATTTATGTATAAAAGACATCACAAAGTGCATTTTGCATGATAGGTCCCCTTTAAGACTAGTCGTTTAAGCATTTGGCTCATTCGTTATACAAAAAATACATTTTCTTTAATAACTAAAGCTCTAAGATATGAAGTAAATATTCCTCATTGGAGTGGTGAAGAAGTATAATTTAAAGAAAACGCTCAAAGTAATATATCAAATACTTGAGTAAAAGTAGTTACATCACCTATGAATACAGACTGCTAAAGGAAGATCTGATGTTTGAGCAATTTCTATCTAGACATTGTGTCCGTCTGTAATGGAAAGGATACAAAGATAACATTCACATTTTTTACCGTTTTTTTATACTTTTCACCTAAAAATATAAGATATTCAACAATAATAGTTTCAAGTTACCTCCCAGGATAAGATCTTACATTTTTATTTTGTTTGCACAAATGTAAGACTGGTAAAAATAAATAATACTAAGCTGATATAAATAGGAAAAATAAAACAAAATTCACCCAAAAATGAATGAATAACTAGAACAAAGTAAACAACACAAATATGAAAAACAATACGGATAAAAAAGAAAAAGGACATATACATACACACGTCAAGAAATAATTAGACACCATGAATTATATTTGATGAAACCGTAATTACTTATTTATTGCTATTATATTTTGTAGTGGTGTTAGATTAACTTCTCCTTCACTTTAGATTACTCTTTTTATTCTTATGTTATTTACTTTAATATTTGACTTATTTTCACTAAATAATATTCTATTTTGCACCGGTGTTGATTCTTATACACTATACAACTGTATCTCTCTAGGTCGTCCCAGTCATCCCGGTTCTCCATCCATCTGGAGAGTCCGCTGCGATGTTCCTGCGGACTCCCGCCGCTGGAAGTATAGGATTTGCGATGACTTTGTTCTTCATGGTTGGCTTTACTATGCTGATTAAGGACTGGGGGGCGCAACTCCTCTCAGTCCTGGTTTTTTAGTTCAGAGTGTCCTTCTCCTAGATGGGTTGCCTTCCATGGCTATGAGCCCCATCTGCCCCTGCTATTTTGCCCATAGCTGGAGAGCAGTTTTAGGGAACGGTGCCTTGCTCAGGGACACCTCGGTAGCACTTGGCCCCTCCGGGACTTGAACTGGTGACCTTCCAGTTGCCAAGTCAAGTCCCTATGGACTTTGCCACCACTGCCCCAAAGTATAGTGTTTTTTAAACTCCTATTGTAATTTTTGGAGCAATCAAAATAATTGTTTGGGTTTTGTGTTTTAAGTATTTATTACTAACTTGTGTTTCGTCCGGCAGTGGCTCAGTCAGTAGGGGCTTGGACTGTGAGCCGTAGGGTTGCCGGTTCAAGTCCCCGACCAGACCTAAATCTGGAGTGTGGACTTCTACTTGGAGAGGTCACAGTTCACCTCCTGCCCTGCCGTGGTGCCCTTGAGCAAGGCACTGGACATCCCCCTTCCCACCTCACTCCCATTGTGCTGTACAATAGCTCTGCTCCTAGTACTAGGATGGGTTAAAAGCAGAGAACAGATGTCACTGTGTGTGCTCTGCATGTGTGGCCATTAAAGAGGGTTTCATCCCTCCCTATTCTATTTGTTTTTTGAGAAAACAATTACTTTATTGTGAGGTAAATAAAGTGTTGTTATCCTAAGCCACCAGCAGAGGGCGACACAGACTGCAGATGTATGGAGCTGGTCCACAGAGAACTGTTATGTCATGATGTAACACATCTGAAATAAATCTCCATTTTTGAAACGTTAGATTTGATAAATTACTAACTTTATCGTAGCATCTGCAAATACTAACAGTACATCTGTCATGATCTATGTCTCATTATATACTGATGGCAGGTCTTTTGACCTTTCCTCCAGCAGGGTGTCAAACATCAGAGCTTCCTTTAACAGTCTGTACTCAGAGGTGAAATGTAACTAGGTACTTTTACTCATTTGATATGAGTGTTTTCTTTTAATGCATTAAACTTCTACTCCACTACAATTAGGAATATTTACTTCACTACATTTATCTTAGAGCTTTAGTCATTAGTACATTCACAAATGTAACATTTACGAGAGAAAATGTATTTGTGAAACGAATAAGCCAAATGCTTAACTAGTCTTAATAGGCAGTGTGTTTTAAATATATATATTATATTTTTCTCTCAATGTTAGTATAATCATTCAAAAATTGTTTGAATACTCGAGAGAAGGCTGTTCATTGATCCAATGTTTGGTTTGTAAAAATAGTATGAAGTGCCACCCAAATTACCCAGAGCCAAAAATGACATTTTGATTTCATTTGAAACTATTGGAGGAAAGTGTTCTGTACAAACATCTTTGTTAACTTAAGCCGTCAGATAAAGCACAAGAAAAGATTGCAATAATTAAGTCCAAGAAGATAGTGGTGTTAATACCGCAACATTTAAAGAAGACAACAGAAGCAGTGAGTTCACTTTTTATTTGTATTTGTTTTAGTACAACAGTTCAAGTCACTGTTTTTATATGGAGGTGCCTAAGTGTATTGCCCGTGTGCATCCCATATAACACCCCTCCCCCTCCCCAAATTCAGTCAAGATGGCGACGTCTTCCAAACCTGGCATTTCAATTCACAGCAAGACATTATGTGCTTTAACCCAACCCAATAGGTTTTACAAAAAGCCAAGAATCAGCTAACTAGCAAAGCTTCACACAAACACTGAGTGAATAACAGCAGACGCCTCGATGTTAACCTTTTGCTACTTTTTTTATTTTTAATATACAGTAAGTGCCGAGAACAGGTGTAGTTCACAGAAACAGTTTGCAAAACTCACTATGAAATAGGCAGGGATAAAAGACCTATGCATAGAAACATGCTTTCCTTACAAAAGGATAAGTACACTGCTAATTTTCAAAAAGGGTAGAAGCTGCACCGACAAGCTACATATCAAATGGAATAGACATGAGGGCGGGGGGGAAATGATCCACATGTGAAACTAGCGCAAATACACTCATAGCAGGAGAATTGAAAATTTCACAAAGTACTTGAATTTATTTCAAAAAAGTTGGGAGGTGAACACAACAAAAATACTGGCCGAACGAAAAATAAATCAATCTTTGGATACGTAAAAAACCCTATACACGCTCCTGTGTGAAACTCAGTCCTCAGTGCCTTCTTTGGTTTCCTTGTTCTTTCGCACTTCTTCCAACTTCTTGTCCTATTTTTAAAAAAAAAGACGGATGGTAAGTTACAACACACCTGGAAGAAATAAATGGTGCTACTTTATCGATTTAAACACTGACCTTCTCCTTGAATTTATCATTCATCGCTGCCAAAAGTGCTGTGCGGTTCTCTTTGTTGGCCTCCATCTTCTGATTCAGCTTCTCCTCTGCTATCTTACTGAAGTTGTTGTTCTCCTCCATAGCTTTCTGTAGCACCTCCTTTTCATGCTCTCGCTTCTCAGCTAAGTGCTTCAGAACCTCGGCTTCATGGTTCTGCAAAAAGATTAAATGTTGCATCAGCCACAACCAGCCTTCAGATGTGAATCAGACGTAATGCTTTCAGATTCAAACAGCTGATAGTATATTTAATTAATCGTTTCTTACCTTGCGTCTCTCCTCTGCAGCGTCCAGCTTCCTCTGGATTTCCTCCAGCGACATCTCCTTCTTCTTGGGCGGAGACAGGGGGAATTCTCCCTTGGGATCAGAAGCAGCGAGGATCACCTCGAAGGCTTGGCCCGAGGCGCGTTTGTCCAGCTCCTTGACCAAGAACTCTGAACACACACACGGTAGAAATAGATTTAGACACAATAAACCATAATTGGGCAACCATTCACATTCAAATCTAAAGATAATGTACCTTCAGCGGCTGCCATCTTAAGAGTGCACTGCAGGTGAATTAACCTAAAGAGGAAATATTAAAAAGAAAGGTGAGATCATTGCTATAGTAGTCTCTGGTGCATTTATAGTACATGAGCGAACTCTAGTGGATGTTTTACACCAGTCCCAATGCCATTTACAGCAGACCGTATACACTGCCGCCAACTGAAAACTCACCCGATTCGCTTGTACAATATGAAAAAAAATGTATGCAGCAGCTCTTACAATGGTCTGGCTTGTTGGAAGTACCATACTTATTATATGATGCTTTGGACAAAAGAATCGACTAAGTCATCTACAAAAGCTGAAAATATATATTTTTTTTTAAAGGCACAGTGGCGACACCATGCGGCCGTCTGCAGAACTGCAAGCAACCACCGCCCATCCATCCACAAAAAAGCATGTCTGCAACACCATTGTTTATCTGACTTGTGGCAGCAGCGACATTAATACCAATCTGAAGGCAAGGCACCGCAGTGACTAGCACTATCAGACATGAAGGAAAAGGGGCAGGGCTTTTCAAACGTTAATTGCTAATGCGCTAAACAAGTCGCTGAAACAAAAGGATGTGTGGGGGGCGTGGGCACGGCTGGCAGTGCCAGGTGCAGACAGGCCTGCAGTCAGAATAAAAAACAGCCAATATGCAGCATCTGAAACGGGATTAGTGGGCGATGAGCTGGCGGAAAATGCTCATCAGGAGCACCTGTTCCTGCAGTATGTGTGTGAGCAGCAGGAGGGGGGGGCGGGGGGGGGGGGGGAACACACACACAGCAACAGGATAAACATGCGGGGCGTGATTGTCTGCATAAATGTGTTCAAATGCAATGTCAGCGATGTCATTTGTTAAGTTATTGGTACTTGTTGGCCCAATGAAATGTAATGTAATTTAGGGAATGTTACTCGAACGATAAGCAGAATCAGATGAATGAAACGACCCCTCCCATAATTGTTCTTAAAGGGTGCTAACTAGCTCATATTACCTTTTGGATGCACGTTTTCTGCATCAGTATAAGGACATACAAATGCATTAATCTTACATTTATTAGAAATGATTGAGGTTGGTGAATGCCCACACCTTGCTTTCCCAAATTGACACCATTGTTTGGATTTAATTAGCTCTTGAAATGACTAAATATCTTCACTAATGATCATTTTAAATAATTTGTTTTAGATTTAGTTAGCATTGTGGTCTCATTAGCTCAGGAATGACACGCAGCATCAAACAAAGGCGCTTTTGACGAGCAGCTGCAGACAAAGACGCCCTGATGGCAGGTTCACTCCCACAGAGAATCCCCAATAACCAGGCTTTCCTTACATCAGTGAATGGAAAACTGATAGAAATGTGACTGCTAGCTTACCAACAAAATCACAGACATGAAATAAGTCTTCAAAAAAAAAAACGACCTCGTCTGCAGCCATGTCTGTGCCAACTGTGCCACCATACAAATACCTCCAACCAGCCCACATAAAGTAACGATAAGCAACAAAAGAGCTGCAGAAAATCCAACATGCTGCCCAAAAATACAAACTCCAGCAAAAGCATCAAACCTGTCTCGCATGGGGTTTCTTTAAAACATACAAAATATAATAATATTTGTACTTACAGACTAGGAAAAACACAGTCCTGGCGAGTCTTTAAAGATGCTGTCACACCCTCCTTCAGAAGCTTTGAACTGTGTTCCTCTCGTGCTGATCACCGCGAGCTCTGTGCTCCACCAAGCCATGCGCGCGTTAATAAAAGCACCAGCGCGAGTGTCGTCACCTCAATTCTCGTCTTTCATTGGCTGCTCGCTCACAGGGGATACTGGGAGTTGTAGTTTTGGGGGATTTTGACTTTGAGACAAATTGATTAATCGTGCTTTTTAGTTACAAAAGAGGGCAAGTCGAGTGAGGAAGCATTTGTGTTTTGAAAGATGTTACTGTCTTGAAACGTTTTTTAAAGGTGTTATTGTAAAATGTATTTCTAATTGTAGTAACTAACCAAAACCCAAAGGTGCTAGACTGCCATATTAAGTCCAGTATGATGAAAAGTGTTGATTTAATTTTAATTTGTGATGTCTTGATTTATCAATGCATCATTATATCAAAACACTGGACGAGTAGGACAGGGTGCTCTTTCTATGTTATATTAATATCTTTATGGAAAGCAGTTTGTACAAAATATCTTGCAATTGTGAGGGTTATTGTTTCCTCTTACAGTGATTTTTAGTTATTATTTACACACATGGCCTAATGTAGTTGATTTGGAAGTTTGGATTTCTGAAGTTGTTTTATTTGTCATGGCTATGTAATTTATATTATGTATACAGGGCATTATTTGCATCTATCTATCTATCCAACAATTGAAACAAAAAACGTTATTGTGGAAAACCATGTCATTGATTAATAAAGCCACAGAGATCCTAAATAATGCTTAAACAAGAAAGGCAGGACGCAAGGAGCGGAATATGAATTCAAAACATTTCATATTCACATTGTTCATTTATTTTCATATATTTCAGCATCTTAAAGTAGCGAGCGCCGTTGGGGAGAAACGTTATGAATGAACACAATAAATGTAGGCCTTTGTGCTGTGGGAATATGACATTTCATAGGCGGCGCGTGAGCCTCAGGTTTGGGAAGGCTTAATAACTTTTTTTTACCTGACGCTGCCCGCCTCCGGCGTCTATAGATCAACTCAGTGAAAGCACCGCCTACTGACCAATCAGAGCTCAGTGTGCGGAGTTTAAATATATCAAGTCATATTACAGGATAAAGGAAATACAGTTTAAACTGCCGTAGCCTATGCAGAGAAGACGCCGACGTGTCGCACTTATCATTCATTTCACATCATCAATCAGATCATCGATCATATTTGTATTGTGTTTGTTCAAACGGTGTATGATTGATGATATGTGTAGCCTATGTCTCTTAAATGTCCACTATGTTTGTATATTATGTACATGTATGCGGAACTGCTGGACGGAGCCCAGAACGAATTTCCTTACGGGGACAATAAAGTATATCGTATCGTATCGTATATAATATCACAATATTTCCTTATCTGAGTCAGCGAGCCGTATCTGGCCGTGCAACACTTGCATTGTCACATATACTGTAGCCATGCAGAAGTATTATTTTAAGCAACACATTAAGTTGACTCAAATGTAATTAAAGTCAGATCCACTCGTGTCTTAGATGGGGCAGTGATATCATAAAACTGTTGTACGCATTCAAACACACTTTTTAACCAGTTGTTCTGTATTCTCCTTGCAGGTGCAACTCTGTGGCTTGTACCTTGGATTATATGTTTAAGTCATGGAAAGTTCATATTTGTCTAATATTAGTTTGCTTTTCATTAATGAAGTATGACGCTGCGCTGTCAGTATACTTGTACCTGTTTGTGATTGGTCAAATGTAGCTAACCCCGCCCCTTTCACAGTTTCACGTGAACGCGCTCTCAGCTGGAGAGAGAAACCCTGGCTTGATTTACCGAGTTGATAACCAGCGCCGTAGGACCGCTTAGCGAGATCTCGTTTGTTAGGATTAGTTAAGATAACTCAAACATATCCAGGGTCTGTTGAACTGGCTTCGTAGTACAGGGCACAGGTGGCAGCATAGCAGCGCTAATGTCAAAGACACAAACATTATACATTAGCCTATATTTTTTATTTTACCAGGATGTAGTGACACAAATATTTGGGAATGCTTAGCCTTCCCTAGCCTACAGCACCCGCCGCCCCTACATTTACCCCCAAAAAACTAAAGAAGATTAACAGCATCATGTGTCAGTGTCCATCAATTGAAATATATGAAGCGGAGTTAACGAAGGAATGTTATGTTCCCTGGGGTAAAAGGGAAGTAACAACATATACAATAACCGGGATAAAAAAGAACAGGAAATTAATTTACAAAATCAAAAGATAATGTTTATTGAATCAAAACAAAGAGCTTGCCAACTTTGTAAACAAACCAAAGACAAAATAAGAACAACTTTCTTGTAAAAGACAGTGACATAAGTAAACAATGTAAAAAGACACAATGGAGCACACCTTAAAACTCTAACAATCACCACAACACTGTTTGTCTGTTGTTTTTGTGTTTACTTAAAGTGGACCTATAATGGAAAATGCACTTTTTTATAACTTTTATGCATACATTTGTATCCCCGGTGTGTCAGGGAACTCACAAAGTCAGAAAATAAAACCCTCTCTCTTTTCCTCCGTACCCAAATCTCTAAAAATGGGGGAACAACGGAGCTGGGGGGTATACTACGAAGCAGGATTTTCGCTTAACCGGCTAACTTCAGGGAAAACTCTGGGTTTCCGGTCCTACGAAGCTGGTTCTCTTTTTAGCAGGCTAGATCTCCATGGTAACTTATGCTGTGCGGCCAGGGTCGGCGTCATGGGGGGTCATTCGCGGGCCATGCCCCCCCAAATGAGTCACTGTGCCCCCCCAACGCAGGGTTGGCAAGCCTTGCCACTTTGCCGTTTTTTTTCTTTTTTAATCATATAAGTGAAAACGTTTCTACTAAAGGTTTTTTGTGTGAAATACATCAGAAATAAAGAACACAAATATAAAACACAGCCTGAGGTGTGCTCACTGCTGCTCTCTGATTGGTGTGTTGCTTGACCAATGACCCCCGACCTTTTTTTTGTTATCATTACGTGGCTGAGTGTTTAGATGAAAGCCCAGTGGCGATCTGTTCATCTGTTACACTGATTATACAGTAAAGCCATCAAAAATAATATGATATACAGTACAGTACAAGTACATGGGTCTCTGTGTTTCATTCAAGCTCGGCTCTGTGTGGCACGAGCACATTTTGTGAGTGCGCGAGTGGTAACGTGGAATGTTGTTAGCATCTGGTTAGCTAGCTATGCTAACGGATATAAAGGGCTGTTTCTACACCAAGGTGGAGGAGAGTCCTCTCCTGTCAGACTGAGAGGATCTTATAACGTCAGCTCAGTGAGGTAAGGACTCTCTCAGTGTTTAGATAGTTCACTTTAGTGTAAGTTATCTCAGTGGGTCTCAAACGGTTTGGTCACCATTTATGTAAGTATTTTCGAGGAATACCTTTATATGATCATTATAGTTGTTAAAGAGAGAATACATGAGAAACGGGTATGAAATACTATTGGACAGTAACACAAGAATACAGTTTAAAAGGGGAGTGATTAGTAAAATATCCATAAAGAAAAAGTAAATCTGTTTACAGTTCTGTTTCATATGGATGCTGAGAGATGTAGGCTATCCATAGATCTCTTCATGTTGCTCTCAAAGTGCACCAGATTGATGCATTTAACTTCAATATTTTAAAAATAATCTTCCCGGGGGAGCTTGCCCCCAGACCCTCCTAGAGGAGGTTAGGTCCACCCCCACCTAAAACATGTTCACATGGATAGGATACTAAATACATTTGCATACTTTTTATATGGTGGCCTATGTTCATATCAAATCAAATCAAGTTTTATTTATATAGCACATTTTTCAACGATTTTTGGTCGAGCCAAAGTGCTGTACATATAATAAAAAATAACCTACAGTAAAGACACTTTACAACAAATACAACAACACAGTTTGTGCAGAATATCAGTATGAGAAAACGACACCCTCTGTCCTTATATGTTTCTGTTTTGGTGGTCGTGCCACAACCGTGCATGTATGCACAAGTCATAGGTGCGCTATACAATAGCACTACACCCTGCAATGTGTGTGAAAGACAATAGACTTTACAGCATGTTTTTTTAAATTGAAGTTGCGTTGGTGTTTGTGTGTTGGTTGTTGACGGCAGTGTGTGCCCCCCCTTGGTAAATGATTGCCCCCCCATTCGATTTGTTCTAGAGCCGACCCTGTGTGCGGCTAACCTGGTCGGGACCAGGTTAGGTTGCAGGCTAAGAGCTCAACTCAGTGAAAGCACTGCCTGCTGACCAATCAGAGCTCAGTGTGCGGAGTTTAAAGCGATCAAGTCATATTACAGGAGAAAGGAAATACAGAAAAACTGCCGTTGCAGGAAAGACGGCCGGCAAAAATCACCGACTGTGTGAACGTGAACATTAATAGAATATCACCTCCATCTTCAGAGCAATCTGACAATTATAACATTAGCGTTAAGAAAGCTTACTTAAATATCTGCCACAACATAAGTAACCGGATCAGAGTAACATTAAGTACAGTCCGCGGCATATCACATCATAATGTATCATATATCTCCTTATCTGAGTCAGCTGAGCCGTATCTGGCCGTGCAACACTCACAGTGTCACATACTGTATGCAGAAGTATTATTTTAAGCAACACATTAAGTTGACGAAACACTGGAGACAAATGTAATTAAAGTCAGATCGTGTCTTAGACGGGGCAGTGATATCATAAACCTGTTAGTGTACGCATTCAAACACTTTTTCTTTTACCAGCTGTATTCACCTTGCAGGTGCAGCTCTGTGGCTTTTATCCTGGATAAAGTGTTTAAGTCATGGATGTTTAAAGTTTAACTTCTTCATTTTTGTCTAATTATATAGTTGACTTTTCATTCAGGAAGTATGACGCTGCGCTGTCAGTACGTTTATCCATGTTTGTGATTGATCGAATGCTCCAGATACCACCCCTTTCATGTGAACGTGCACCTAACTAGATAGGACACGGCTGGCTTGAGCGATCCACTTGATAACCCGCGTCGTAGTACCGTTTACCGAGAGCGCGTATGTTTTGGATTAGGGCAACCGGCTAACTCAAACATATCCA